AGGGGGCTAACCAGAACAGGGGGAGANGGAACCTCGATAGTATGAGCTTGGAAGTATGGTCTGAGCCTTCTTGCGGTTGTGACTAAAGTCAAGACAAGCTTTTTCATCTTTAGGTATCTCTCTTCGGCCCCCCTCAGAGATCTGCTGCAATAATAAACTGGTTGCTGAGTTTGTCTCATTCCCTTACTAGCACTGTGTTGGTTGAGAAATCTGAGACAGCTAAGTAGAGGATAAGCACTTTCCCTTGTAGGGGGCTAACCAGAACAGGGGGAGAGCTCAGATAATCTTTTAAGGCTCTGAACGCTTCCTCACATCGGGTATCCCGTTGAAATGCCTTCTTTAAGACTTGAAAGAACGGTTGGCATTTGTTGTTTGATCTAGATACAAAACGGCTTAGGGCTGCTATTCTCCCTGTCAAACGCTGAACTTCTGTAGTGTTGGACGGTGGCTTTATATCTATTATTGCTTTAACCTTAACTGGATTGGTTTCAATTCCCCTACTATTGACTATGAAACCGAGGAATTTTCCTGCAGATACTTCAAAAGTACATTTTGCAGGGTTCAGCTTCATTTTGTATTTCTTAAGGACTTGAAATGACTTTGCTAGGTGCGCAACATGGAGTTCTACCTTTAATGATTTTACCAACATATCATCAAGGCATGCTTCCATTGTCGTCTCAATCTGTTTCTGAAACATTCGATTTACCAAGCGTTGGTAAGTGGCTCCTGTGTTCTTCAGTCCGAAGGGCATTACTTGATAGCAGTGTGTTCCCTGTTCTGTCACAAAGGAGATCTTTTCTTAGTCGTTAGGATCCATTCTAATCTGATTGTAACTAGAGAAGGCGTCCATGAAGCTCATGAGCTCGTGCCCTGTGGTGGCATCCACGAACAAGTCTATAAGAGGTAAAAGGAAGCTGTCTTAAGGGCAAGCACAATTGAGATCGGTAAAGTCGATGCAGAGACGCCATTTTCCATTGGGTTTTTTAACAAGAACCACATTGGCTAACTAGGTGGGATAATCTACTTCTCTGATGGCCTTGGCATGCAGAAGCTTGCTTACTTCTTCATTAATGGCCTTCTGCTGCTCTGGGGTGAAACTTCTCCTCTTCTGCTTAACGGGTTTGCTAGCTGGGTTCACACTGAGCTGGTGTAAGATGACTGAAGGGTCAATTTTTGTCATATCTTCTTGCTTCTAGGCAAACACTCCTATATTCTCCTTCAGGAATTAGATAAGAAGGTTTTTAGTTTCTCTGCTTAGCTTAGACCCTACGTAGACAAGGTATTCTAGTTCTTTATCCAGCTGGACTGGTTCTAGCTCCTCCGATGGTGTTGGTCTAGTGTCCAGCTCGTCCCTCATGTCGAGCTTGTCCAGTTGAATATTTTTGACCTTCTTCTTTTTGACAGACGCCATGTAGCACTCCCGTGCTATGCATTGATCTCCTCGAACCATACCAACCCCATTTTCAGTAGAAAACTTCATTACCAAGTGGTAAGCTGAAGGTATAGCCCTCATTGCATTGAGGGAAGGTCTCCCAAGCAGCATGTTATACGCCAAAGGTGCATCAACTACCAAAAATTTGACAGAAGTGGAGGTCTAGCAGGGAGGGTTCCCAATTATGAGCACGAGTTGTATTAACCCCAGTGGTAGTACCCTTTCTTTTGAGAACCCCAATAGGTGGATAGTTACTGGCTCAAGCTTTTCTCTGCCTATCTCCATCTTATCAAAAGCTGGCGTAAGGATGATGTCCGCAGAGCTCCCGTTGTCAATCAGTACTCGATGTACCGTTCTATTGGCAATAATCGCTCTTACTACTAGGGGATCATCATGGGGATGCTGGCAGCCTTCCAGATTTGAGTTTGAGAAAGTGATGGGTATGTCCAGACGTGGAGTCTTGGATACAGTATGTACTTCCAGTATTTCATCAGCTCTGATTCTTCGCAAGTGTGCTTTCCTAGCTGAATTAGATTCTCCTCCTCCTGATATTACTTTGATTTCTCTTAAGGGTTGCTGATGCTGCATAGGGACTTGTTGCTGAGGTACCAAGGGCGGTTAAGCTCTATTCTGATTATCACGGGCAATAAAGCGACGCAACTATCCCCTTTGGATCAAGAACTCAATCTCCTTCTTCANTTAAGGGTTGCTGATGCTGCATAGGGACTTGTTGCTGAGGTACCAAGGGCGGTTAAGCTCTATTCTGATTATCATGGGCAATAAAGCGACGCAACTATCCCCTTTGGATCAAGAACTCAATCTCCTTCTTCAGCTGAATGCAGTCATCAGTATGGTGACCGTGGTCTCTGTGATACTCGTAGTATTTCACAGGATCCCTCTTTACTGGATCTGCCTTCATTTGAGGAGGCTATCTTAAGAACTTTTCGTTCTACACCTCATACAGGATCTAGGATACTATAACAATGAGTGGAGTATACTGTTAAGGTGCATACCTCGGCTGTAACTCAGGCTGTGGGGGACCTAAACGATCCTTGACATTTCATCTCCTTTTTGGGGAACGTTCTCTATCTTTCCAGGGAGATCTGTCTTTTCTTGGAGACCTGTTTCTTTTCCTTTCCTTCTTGGGGCTTTGATCTCTTTTCTTTTCCTTCTTTTCTTTTCCTTTCTAAGAAGAAGAGCTCCCTACCTTTGAGATGAGAGCTTCTTCGCCGTTTATATACTTCTCTGTTTTGGCCAACACCTCGGCCATACTTGCTTGAGGATTTTTAGATATGGAGAACGTCAAGTCCTTTGACTGTACTCCCAATCCTGGTATGACAACAGTAATTGCAAATTTCTCGTCTAGGACGTCTACCTTTAGGGATTTTGAGTTAAACTTTTGAACATAGGACCTTAGGTTTTCTTGAGGTCCCTGCTTTACATTTAACAAATGTTAGCTCGGCTTCCTGTATGTCTGAGCTCCAATGAAATAAGATACAAAGGATATCGAGAGTTCTTTAAACAAAGATATCGAGGTTGGGGGAAGTCGGTTGAACCATGCTAAGGCTTATCCTTTCAAGGTTATGGCAAAGACTCGACAACGAACAGGATCTTGATACCCATGTAACTCCATCTGGTTTTTATAGGTATTCAGGTGGTCCATTGGGTCTCTGGTTCCATCAAAAGCTTCTACTTTTGGCATTTTGAATTTTGGCCTAAGAGGGAAGTGCAATACCCCAAGAGTAAACGGGGACTCGATTTGCTACACCAAGACGTCCATGGTTACTGGGGTTTTACTCCTCACAGCCTCCTTCATGTAGCTAAGCTCCTGTTGAATATTTTTAAAGCACTGCTCCCAATATTGGTCTTTTCGCTCCTACTGGACTGGGCGGAGGTTATCGTTTCAATCTCATTACTTCGGCTTTGCACTTCTTCAATGTCTCTGTTCCTCAGAGGAGGTTGGGGAGCCTGGTTATTTTCTCCTCCGTCGTTGGCTTCTCTGAATGGGTCAAGAGGTCGTTCTTCCCTGTGAGGGGGATCATTTCGGCCTCCTTGGGCTGGTTGCTTCTCTTACGGTCGCTGTAGAAGCTTCAGGAGTTCTTCATTCTGCTTTAGCAAGCATTGATTGACCAGGCAGAGGGCTTCTAGCTCGTTGTTCGTGGGAGGATCCACCACAGGAGGATTAGCATCGACGGTGTGGAAGAAATCTTGTGGATCTTTGTATTGTCTGCTAGTATTCTCCTGTTGGTGCTTTATTCGAGGGGGATTTACTTGGCTTCTGCTCATATTTTAGGTCGAGATCATCAGTTACTGAAGGATTAGTGTACTTGTAACAAGAACAGTCGTTCCCACAGACGGCGTCAAACTGATGGCTTAAATTAATGTAAATGAGCAGAAGGTTGAAATTGTGCTTGGCAATTTGGGTCTGACCTTCTTGGCTCGTGAGGATCATGATAAAGAATTTCAGGGATTGAGGGGATTTACACAGAAAAAATATAGTGGTTCACCAGCTCGGGAGTTCGGCTAGTCCACTCTTTAATGGAGACTCTTACTCCTCCTTTCTTAATAATGGGGGATGGAACTTATATTATGCTTCTATTGCTACACGGGTTTCTTGCCCCATCTTGGAGGCATTGTACAATATTTATAGTGCAATTTCAATTCCTATGGATTCTTAGGCGTGATCTTAGTAAAATCTTCCATGATTTTTGGGGAGAAGTTCTCGGTTGGTTGAGAATTTTACGCTTGGACTCCTGCCCCGCTGTCATCCAGCTGTTCCCTTGCCCTCTCTGTTGTTGACTTGTCTAGAGGGGAGTCCAGCTCGAGTTCCTTTGAGACCTACATATCAGGTCAGACCTCCTGACTTAACTCCGGCTCTTGGGCTCATACTTGGCTAAAATTCCTCTTGGGTATCATCATTATACAATCCAAATAAAATTTAAAAATTATAATTTAAATGCATATCATCTATTGAATGAGTGTTGGATGAGTGAGTTTTACTGAAAAAGGTGATGAAACTCACTCATTCAAGAGACAATATACATTTAATTTGTAATTTTTCAGGTTTTTTTTTGAATTATGTAACATTACCCTTTACAAAATGGTTCTGCATCCCATATTTATGTAATAATAGTCAGGAGCTTAAAAAACATATGGTTGACCTGGAGGGTGGGAATATAACCTAGGGTGTGTTTGGGTAGTGGGTTAAGGTTAGTTAAGAGCCGTAAGGATAGCTTAACAATGAAGTGGGTCCCATAGATCCATTGTTTGGCAACTGAAAAATGAGGGAGGTTATGAATCTTGGGTCAAACTCGAATGCTACAGTAGAATTTAAGCAATGTACATAGGTCAAGTGTAACCCACCCCTCCCCTATGTTACAATCCCACCCTCCAGGTTAACAAGGTAAAAAGACGGGCTTACCCTCTCTCTTTCTCAGATATTTTGCTACACCCTACCGAAAGGATCCTTCACTTAGTCCAAGCAGTTTAGCTCCAACTCACAGGCGATCGTCGACTGCAATTGAGGTAAGTTTATTGGGTATATAGGAAGTATTAGTCTGAAATTTAGGGATTTGAGAATGATTAGTGAAGATGAGGCGAGTTTGACAACGAGCATTGAAATTGTGGTGACCAGAGGTATTACGTGTGGAGAGGAAGAGGAAAAGTTGAGGAAATTGGGAGAGAAGAAGATGATGAAGAGGCTTTATACTCTGCAAGATTTAGCCGATGGTTTAATGGCATTGGCTGATATTCGAGACGGGAAGGGACGGCTTTCAGGGCCACTTTTGGTATCGTCGGCGATTATTAGTACTCACAAGAATTGGGTTCTCTTGTTTTCACATGTCTCATGAATAATGAACAAAAACGCTGGCCTTATATTCAATGAAGATTCTTCAAACAAGATTTACTTGGGTTCTTAGTTTTGATTTATAGCAAAGATGAGTGTTCTTGTTAGACACATAGAAGAACATGGCGAGAGAATTTAAATAAAATTCTAGAAAATGGGCATATGTTTCTTTGATGATAGTTCTCCTATCGGACTGGAAAATTTGGGGTTCAGTTATTCTCTGCATTCCTCATAATAGTTATATTGTACCTTGTTTTTATACTCATAAGTTTTAATATTTTTAATTAAAATTGTCAATCCTTTGTGTAAGTGTTTGTGTTTGGGCACCAATATATGTGTTCAAACTAAAGATACCTTCACATGAGGAAACTATAAAATGTAATGATTGCAGTGCACTAGTTTTATGAAGAAATTTAAGGTGAATAAACACTCAAGACCCAGGGCATTAGAATTTAGTATTTTTTTGGTGATTCTAAGAAGCCAATTTATTACCCTTCAATGTAGCTTCTGTTGTTCTTGGGTAATCAAAATTTACCTTCTAGAGTTTAAAAAAAGTAGAATTGATTTAACTTGGCTATCCTTCATCAAGTTTACTGGTGAAATGATATATTTCTTTATTTCAAAATGGGTTTGTCTTTGATGGCGTAAATCAACGTGGATGAGCAAAAGGTGCATGTAACGTGAGATGAGCGTGGATCAGTGCTACAAGGCTCGTGTATGATGCTGTAATAAAATATTGAAGGGATTAAAGGGGTGTACAAAGTGAAAATAGAGTGGTTCACCGGCTCAAGAGCTCGGCTAGTCCACTCTTCAATGGAGGTTCTTGCTCCTTCTTTTCTCTATTGATTAGTTGAATGTAATACAAGACAGTGCTAAACTGATTAGGATTTTTCTCTTTTTTTTCTCTCTCTCTGCCTTACGATGAGGTGTTGCATAGTATTTATAAGGCTGCCCCCTGTTCCTTGGAATTTCGGCCGAGATTTTTTCCCATTATTCATGGGATCCTCCTTGATTTTAGGAGAGAATCTTGGTTGGTTGAGAGTTTCATGCATGGGGCCCAATTCCCGCAATCACCCAGCTGTTTCCTGGTCGATTCAGCTACAATCTCCCCAAGGGAAACTCCACCCCTAGTTCTCTGAGTTCCTCGTGTCTTTCCTGTCCTCCTGACCCGACCTCTTGACCTGACCTCACAACTAAGGCTTGTTTGAGGTATCATCAGTTGCCCCCCAGCCCCTAGTTCAAGCGGGCTTGGGTAGGGGTTGAGCTGTTTTGTAAACCAAGTAGGATCTGCACGTGACTGACCTTGGACCGCACGTGAGTTTGGCATTTTTGGCCACTTTTAGCAATTATGGCTTTCTCATTTCCCATGCATGTTTTAGTCCACGTCTTTCAGGCTTTAATTGCTCAAACAGCTATCTGAACCGCCCTATTCCACTGTTCAACTTCTCTGTTGCTTCTCTCTTCTTGCGATTTCTTAGCTTTCTGGTTTGGAATTCTCTTATTCCTCGTTCAAGATCGAGTTCTATGGGTTCGATTTGAGGATTCACATTGCTCTCTTTCTTCCATTTCGCTCTAGGCTATTGTTTATTGCTCTTTCCCCCTAGGTACGCCCTTTTGTCCCTTTTTCTTTGTTCCTCATTCTGGATCCCTCAAATTCGAGGTGGCCATTACATTTCTGGGCCTTTCGGTTCTTTTATTTTTGGAATTGAAATTACTGCCAGTCTCCTCTCCCCCACTTCGTGGACTGATCTTCTATCGTGCGAATCCTTGCTATTGGAAGCTACTGCGCTGACCCTAAGGTTATTAGGGAGTGCTTAATCGATATTCCCCCTCTCTACCGTTATTTCAGTTTACCCTTCTCTTGTCCAGTCATGTCTACTTCTTCCAGAGTTACACGCTCCTCTACTTCTCTCTTGGGGGAAAGGTCTGCCAAAGAGGACACTGATTTAGGGGATGTAGGCGAAGAAATCGACAACTTCCCTGATGTGGATACTGTCGATGCCGAGGAAAATACTGAGGAACCATCCCCATCGTCTTCTTTTGTGTCCCCTAATCTTATCAAAGGTAAGGGCAAGGTGAGTGGGATAGGAGTCTCTGACAGTGCAGCAGGCATAGGGGCCGCCTTTAGGCACGCTAAGCTCGTAGGACCCAGTGAGGTTGACTCTTCTCATGTGAGAATTCTTAGTGCTCATTATGATTTTCTTCCTGGTGTCCAGATAAATACATCTCATACGTTACCCAAGTTCACAAGAGGGTATGTTTCTTTGAGGCAGCTTTTGAGAATGACCTTCGCTTCCCTATGCATCCCTTCATCAAGAGTGTTTTGCAACATTTCAATGTCCGCCCTGCTCAGTTCTCCCCTAATTTCTGGAGTGTACTTGTGGGTCTTCTGGTTTTATTCAAGATTCATGAACTTGGGGTCTCCAGCCTTTCCTTGCTTGTAGATCTCTTTAATGTCAAGCTCACCTCATTAGAGGATTTCTTATATATCTCCAAGCGAACCACGGCTAGGCAAATCATGACTCATCTCCCGAGCTCCTATAAGGGTTGGAAGAAACAATTCTTTTTTGTTGGGGGCACCAATTGGGAGTACAACCCTGCTGATAGGATTGATACTCTAGGTATCCCTAGAACTTGGTATGCCCCTGATAACTTAGGTGAGCTCTTGCTCGAATTGATTGAGCTCTGGTTTGGGAATCGTTGAGTCGCCTTTTTAACTGTTGCTCTCCTTGTGTTGCTTTTCAAGCATTCGACCAGAGCTTAGTGCTGAGGATGAGAGGGTAAATCGAAAGTTGGAGAAGTGCAATCCAGAGAAGTACTCCGAGCTCATCAAGCCCTGGGACTTAGTAACACAGGGATTCAGTCCTCATTAGGTATCGATTGAAGCTCCGCTCCCTATCTTAGTTGTTAGGCCTGAAGACATAGAAGGTAACACTTTCTGAGTTGGTTCCCTTGTCTTTCCTTCTTTTTTCTTTCTCTTGTCTAACTTTTTTGGTTCAGATCTCCTAGGCTCCTCCATAATGAAATCTACCCCTGAGAAACTCCAGGCTAAAGGTGACCTACTGAAGAAGATTAGGAAAAGTGGCAAACAGAAGGCCGATACCAGCTCTGGAGGCAGCCCTGCTGACAAAGCTGAAGTGCAGAAGCTGGGAGTGCCCTCTTCTTCTGTCCTGAGCAAGGGAGGACAGACTCCCTCATCTCAATCCTTGGCCCCTTCTCCTTTTCAAGGGGCCCAGTTTGCCCCCCAAAAGACTTTCGAGCCAGAGATGGCTTCCCCTACCTCTTCTGAGGTTAAGGGAACATTGGGGCTGATTACTAGAATCAAGCTAGATTTTGCACCCCCCGGACCGCCTAAGCAACCATCCCAGCTGCCTCTCTAGGGTCCAAAAGTCGAAAGGAGGGAGGGCCAGGAGACTAATGAAGATTCCTTCTTCGACAATGCTGAGTTGGCTGTTAGGGCCATTTCATCCATTCTCCCTGAATTCGATATTCAGAGGGCCTCTACCATGCCTCCTAGGGCCTCTTTCTGCTCAGCTCTCCAGGAAGTAGCCACTGTAAGTATTTTCATACTGGCTCTTAGCTCGGCGCAGTTGAATTGTGCTGACCAGGGAAGAGCTGCTACTCAAAACCAATGTCTGGTACAAAGCTAGCTAGGAAGCCTTTGATGCTTGGGGCTCCCTTGAGAGCCTTAGGAAGGAGTATGTTATACTGGCTGAGGTGAACGAGGGCCTATGCGATGAGCTCGAGGTGCAGAAGATAGCTGTCAAGGAGAGGGATGACATAATAGTCGAGCTGAAGGATGATGTCACCACCAAGTGGGCCTCAAGATGGCTTGCCTTTCAGCGTAGAGCGGAGAAGGCCTACTCAGACCTCGACTTTAACTTTGCCATCCCCACTGAGGAGGAGTTGGAGGAGTCTAATTCAGATGGTGAGGACAGCACCTTGGTTCCCGCTGCCTCTAATAGGGCTCTTGAAGGTACTGAAATGTCCACTCCTCTAGCTGTTCCAGCTGATACGTCCTTTTCTGCTGATCTGGTAACTAGAGCTCTGTCTAAGATCGAGGTCCCAGCCTCCTCACCTATTCTTGGCTCTTCTGAGATTTCAACTACTGCCTTGCCAGAAGGGTTGCCTGGTGAGCTGCCAAGATCTACCTCTGTTCCTGCAGTTAAGGCTATAGTAACATCATTGCAAGATCCTCCACTCGTTCCCTCTTTAGAAACTTAGGATCTTTTAATTCTTTTTTTTTTAGCTAGCATTTGTAACTTCTATTGGGGAATGTAAACTTTGCATGCCTTTCCTGATTCGTCTGAATAGTAAACATACTGGTGTAAACACACCAGTTTTTCCCCCTTTCTCTAATTGCTTTCTAGCACAATCTAACTCATTCTTTTAATACAGTATATTCTGCTCAATGCGATAACACGATCCAACTTGCTTTTCAATGCAGTCTACTCTACTCTAACACAATAACACAACCTAACTTGTTTAACACAATAACACAACCCTACTTGCCTTTCAATGCAGTCTACTTTGCTTTTCTCAAATCTACTGTCATTGTTTTGTGGTTAGCTGCTCGCGTACTGCTCTGTAATCCCATTGCCCCCCATTGCTTTAAGGGGAACTGAGTTCCTCTGAAAGCAAAGCTGCTGGAACTATAAGTCTACTGGCTTCCTGAGCTGACTTTACACTTAACTCATAAATATCTGAATATTTGGGACCTCAGAGAGTCTTCTAGGATCGCTGAGCTCTACCATGGGCCCGTAGTTAATCTCCCCTGTTATATTGTAGTTTATTGCCCTAAACTTTTGTTGAACAATCGAGGGCTGTTATTGCTTGAGGTGGATGAGGAGTATCAAGGGAATGTTAAGGCTTATTTCGTTATGCTAATCCAACCTCACCACACGAAGTCTCTTCTTCTGAGGGCTCTTAGGTGCTAGCCTTGTACGAACCTCTACCGAGAAGCCCCTGTTCCCATAGGGCTTGTCTATTGTTTAATTTTTTCTA